TCTGATGTTTCAAAAAATATACCTTATGTTTCATTTTATAGTGCTTATGTTCCATAAAATATATGTGTTGTTTCATATACTAATGATATTGTTTTATACATAAAAATCATTGATGTTTCATATAATATTTCATTCGAATATTATTTATATTGTTCCAGAAATTTGAACTATTGTCTCATAAATATTATACATTGTTCCATACCATATGTGTGAAATGTACCAATGACTGAAATGCATGTTCCCAAGAAAATTAAAAAGCATGTACCAATGACTGAAATGCGTGTTCCCAAGAAAATGCATGGGAAATTTATAATTAATCTCAGCCATCCATTAAGTGTAGTTGGTGTACGTTAATGATGTTTCGTAAAATATATCAAGTGTTTCAATTTATAATATTAATGTTTCATATATATTATTGTTTGTTTCATATAGTTGGGCTTTATATGAACTAGGTTTACTGTGATTTCTTATACCTTATCTGATGTTTCAAAAAACATACCTTATGGTTCATTTTATACTACTTATGTTCCATAAAATATATGTATTGTTTCATATACTAATGATATTGTTTTATACATAAAAATCATTGATATTTCATATAATATTTCATTCGAATATTATTTATATTGTTCCAGAAATATGAACTATTGTCCCATAAATATTATACATTGTTCCATATCATATGTGTGAAATGTATCAATGACTGAAATGCGTGTTCCCAAGAAAATTAAAAAGCATGTACCAATGACTGAAATGCGTGTTCCCAAGAAAATGCATGGGAAAGTGATAATTAATCTCAGCCATCCATTATGTGTAGTTGGTGTACGTTAATGATGTTTCGTAAAATATATCAAGTGTTTCAATTTATAATATTAAAGTTTCATATATATTATTGCTTGTTTCATATAGTTGGGCTCTATATGAACTAGGTTTACTGTGATTTCTTATACCTTATTGATGTTTCAAAAAACATACCTTATGTTTCATTTTATACTACTAATGTTCCATAAAATATATGTATTATTTCATATACTAATGATATTGTTTTATGGGACAATAGTTCATATTTCTGGAACAATATAAATAATATCCGAATGAAATATTATATTATGTATAAAACAAAATCATTAGTATATGAAACAATACATATATTTTATGGAACATAAGTAGTATAAAATGAAACATAAGTTATGTTTTTTTAAACATCAATAAGGTATAAGAAATCACAGTAAACCTAGTTCATATATAGCCCAACTATATGAAACAAGCAATAATATATATGAAACATTAATATTATAAATTGAAACACTTAATATATTTTATGAAACATCATTAACGTACACTTCAACTACATTTTAACTTAACGTTGACAACACAATTCAATGTAACATTACATTTTTTAATTGAAACAACGACAAGTCTTTTTGAAACAATAATAACATCTTTTGAAACATCTCAAAATTATTCCTTTAATACAATAAAATAAGTAATTAATACTGTTCCAATAGGATGATATGCCCGTTATTGTCAATACAATTTATATTGTTCCAGAAATATGAATTATTGTCCCATAAATATTATATATTGTTCCATATATAAGAACTAGTGTTCCAACTACATGATTTGCCCCTAGTTTTCGAATTTTAAATATGTCGTTCCAGAATTTTCAACTATTGTACCACATACAGATTTGCTCTTTTTTTGCACTACTTCGAAAATTCTACCAAAAAAATATCAAACGAACTCCAAAAATTCTGAAATTTTGTATGCTTATTCTACACAAAAAAATAAGCAGATTCAAAAAACGAATCCCTTCAAAAGGGTTTTTTATGAGAGAGAAATCTTCATTTGAAATCCGTCTTTCCAGATTTGCTCCTTTTTTGCACTACTTCGAAAATTCTACCCAAAAAAATATCAAACGAACTCCAAAAATTATGAAATTTTGTATGCTTATTCTACACAAAAACATAATCAAATTAAAAAAAATCGCTTCAAAAGCTTTCTTTATGAGAGAGAAATATTCATTTGAAATCTGCCTTCATTTCTCTCTCTTCAATGGCTAAATTAAAATGAAACCAGATTTTCCATTTTCTCTCTCTTCAATGGCTGAATCTCTTGGTTTTATAGTACATAAATCGGTGTTTCAATGCAGAAAATAAGGAAAAAAATTAAAAAGCATGTACTAATGACTGAAATGCGTGTTCCCAAGAAAATGCATGGGAAAGTGATAATTAATCTCAGCCATCCATAATCTCAAAATTGATGGTGTAAGATTGGTTCTTATTTTAAGAGGGTTCTCACCTAAGGGGTGGGTTCTCACATGATCCCTCCCCTATATATATATATATATATATATATATATATATATATATATATATATATATATATGTACATATATATATATACATATATATATATATGTACATATATATATATATATATGTACATATATATATATACATATATATATATATATATATATATATATATATATATATATATATATGTACATATATATGTATATATATATATGTACATATATATATATATATATGTACATATATATATATATATATGTACATATATATATATATGTATATATATATATGTACATATATATATATATGGACACCTATGCAAATTTGTGTTTTTCATGGAAAATTCTCTTTGGTGCTCATCTGTTTTTTTTTTAATTTTTCACAATGGTGAACAACAAAAATCCAAGGAAAAATTCTCTTTGGTAACACTATAGTTTTTATTTTTCTCAGTGGTAAATTGCAAAAATTCTTATTTTCATTGGTAACATTGAAATTTTTGTTACCATAGATAATAACTATTTTTGATATCATTAACCATGGTTAAATATTTATTTTTTTAATAATAAAATAAGTTTTTTTTTATAAAAATCAATCCCTTCCCCCTCCCCACCCACCAGCCACCACCTTACCCCCTCCCTTGGCTGGTGACACCCAGATCCCTTGGGCGGCAGCGACCCCCCACCCCTCTTTACCCTGGCCGACGGCGAACCCCTGCTTCCTCCGTCTCCTACCGGCGACCCACAAAGAGGTTTCCCCCAATTTTTTTAAAAAAACAACCCACTACCCCTCCCCCAACCAGCAACCTAGGCCCTTCCCCTCCTGCCAGCGCCACCTCCTCCCCTTGCTGGCGCCCAGCAGCGACCCTACCTTTACCCCTGTCACCCCACCGCCCTCCTTCCTTCATCCTGACACCCACCAAAAATCAAAAACAAAAACTCACGAAATCAACTAAATCAAACCAGTTCACATAACTACAAACCTTAAATCCCGACGCCATTAAAGGTACGGGATAACGGGAAGTTCCCACGAGCAGTAGGAGTACCGTGAAGAGAGAGAAAGATTGACCAGTGGAGAGAAGGGATGACGGTAGGGGTGGGGGGAAGGCCATTTGTCCGGTGAAGAAGACTGGTTTAGGTGGTAGCAGCTCGGCAGGGGTGGCCAGGTTGGTTGGGTGACGGTCGAGGTGGGAATTCTGTTGCTATGGCTGTGTTCTCCGGCTTCGTCATTGGATTGTTCTTCATTTTCATGAAAATGCCTACTATTGAGGTTTTGGGGAAGGGGGGTCGTGGTTCAGGGGGATGGGGAGGGGAGAGGGTGCGGAAGGGAGGCCGACGTGGCAGGGGTTTTGGGGAAGGGGGATCGTGATTCAAGACGATTAAAATAAAAACTATAATGTTACCAAAGAGAATTTCTCAAATTCTAATTATCTTTGGTAATCATGAATTATTAGTATTTATTAATCATAACGTTAATGATTTATTTCGGTTAAAACTTTAACTAGGGTTACAATTTTTTTATTTTTTTAATAATTAAATTATTTTAAAAACAATGATAAAAAACCTACCACATCCCCACCATCCCAGCCACCCCTGCCCTCTACCGCCCCCCGCGTCGGCGCGCCCAGACTTCTCCTCCTCGGCGCCGACGCCACGCTAAACCCCCTTCCCCTATCGCGTCTCCATTCCCCGATAACCACCCTATCCCTTCCCCGAAACCCCCCTACGAAACCGCCTAAAAACATCACCCCACCCTTGAAAATCCCTAACCGACCCTCCCCCGCCATCGCTAGGGGTTGGGGATGGTTTTTTTAGAGGGATAGGGTTTTGTGGGGGTAGGGAGGGGGAGTTGGTGGTTTGTGCGGTGTCGGCGCTGCAGCGGGGATTGAGGCTAGGCATGGATGGAGGTAGGGGCTTGGCTGGCTGGGATGGGGGAAAGAGTAGTGGTGGATTTATTTTTTTATTATTTTGAAATAATTTAATTTTTAAAAAAATAAAGGAAAATATGATTTTCAAGGATGTATTAGTCAATTTGCCTTTAGTTAACTATAGTTAGACTTATAATTGCAAATTAATCTCATTAATGTCACCATTGAATTAGTACTATGAGTTGGAATTTGGTAAGGAGAATGACACTATTGAGCCGAAACCATTTGCAAAACCTCTCGACCCGAGTTAGCGGGCTTAGACACTTGGGGAGTGGGGGAAAAGGGTAAGAAAATCCCACCTTAAAGTGCCTCTTGTGGAGTTTGATCCCACAATCTTAGGATATGAAATGCAAATCTACCACTAGACCAGATTTGCTTGTTAACACCTGTGCAATTATGGATGGAGAGAGTACTCAATTGTTGTAAATAAAGAAGTAGTCTAGTACAAATAGTATAAAATGTTAAGCAAGATCGAAAAATTGATCTTACATAAAGGAATGAGTACGGTGTGTCATGAAGCAAATTCACTGACTTGAAAACGAAATTTCGACGCAACTGGGTGCTCAATTGTACTCATCGACACATTCCCAAAGGTTAACACACCACTTCCACACAAAGACACTTTTGAGTGGAAGGTTGGAGCCAAGTAACTTATGCCCAAAATAGAATATGTGTTTAGCTTGTGTTTGAAGTATTTTTCAAGCGTGTAAAATGAGAAAAATCATCCTTCAATTTATAATGATGGATGGAGGAAGATAGAAGATCAAAGAAGAATATTTTCATCAATAAGGGAATAAAATCAGAATAAACATAATGATTTAATCACCAACCTCTTAAAATGGGGGGTTACAAAGAATCAAACTAGAAATTAAGAAGGGGAATCCAAGAGAGAGTCGTTGGAGTCCAACGGGTAATCTCGCGCCCGATCTGGCGCAGCTCGCCCGGTCGGGCGAGCAACAAGTAAAAAACTGGGTTGCTCTCGCGCCCGATCGTGCTAACCCTCTGATTTTTCCAGAAGTCTTCTCGCGCCCGGTCGGGCGAAGCTCGCCTGGTCGTGCGAACAACGTCAAAAAATTGGGTTGCTCTCGTACCCGGTAGGGCGGCAGAACTCCAGAATTTCGACTCTTCTTGGGCGGTGCTCGCCCGTCGGGTGCCCATATCTGACCTTTTGAATTCCCTTTCTTTATTCCAATAATCCTGCACTAAAGGAAGGGAAGAAAAACCAACAAAAGATGAGGATAAGAAACATATTGGGCATAAGAGGAGATCAATACATAACATTTAGATATTACATAAGTAACTTGAAGATGAGGCAATGAATTACAAGTATAAGGGTGGAAAAACCTTGAAACCCTTAGACCCTTCATCAAATAGTGGACGGACCTTGAAACTCTAAGGTTTAATCCAAGACCCCCACATCACATACATCAGTCCAAATTATACTTGAACTCCGCAAAAAGATGTACTTATTTATAGCTAAGCACATTCACCTTAGGTTTAGTGGAGACTCTAGAAAACCGACCAAAGTTTTCATAGAAGATGGCTAGTCTTCACAACCACATAGGTGAGTCGTTTAACGTGCGTCTCAATAGTACAAGGACCCATTAAGAGTTAAACAAATCAACCTCACAAACAAAACACAAACATTACAAACATTATCACCATAGGAACTAGGACAAATGTAATTTATCATATGGCTTAAGTTCTATTCCCCTCGATGATTCACCAACTTATTTTCTTGCCAATCCTTTCGTCAAAAGATCCGCCAAGTTCTTTTCGGACCTCACATAGTCCAATGCAATCACTCCATTCTTGAGAAATTACCTCAATACTTTGTGTCTCATACGAATATGTCTCTTTTTGCCATTGTAGTTGCTATTATTGGCCACTCCAATTGCCGCTTGAGAGTCACAATGTATGGACACTAGTGATGAACTCTTCCCCCATAATGGTATGTCAGCTAGGAGGTTCCTAAGCTATTCCGCTTCATGACCTGCCAACTCAAGAGCAATAAGTTTAGATTCCATGGTGAAGCGAGCTAAACATGGTTGTTTTGAGGACTTCCATGAAATAACACCTCCACCCAAAATAAAAACATAGCCACTAGTTGAGGAAATTTCATCATTATCGGTTACCCAACTTGCATCACAATATCCTTCTAAAATACTAGGAAAGCGATAAAAATGCAAACATTCATTCATAGTACCTTTAAGGTACCTTAGTAACCGACGAAGTGCAATCCAATGACTTTGACTTGGATTATGAGTATATCTACTAAGTCTACTTACCGCATAGGCAATGTCGGGTCGTGTGCAATTAATTAGAAACATCACACTACCAATTACCTTTGCATAGAGCTCTTGAGATGCACTAGGACCCTTGTTTTTCTCAAGCTTCATGTTTGGATCATATGGGGTATTGCAAGGCACTACATCAAAAGAATCAAATTTCTTGAGAATTTTTTCCACATAGTGAGATTGGCTCAGGGAAAAACCCTTTCTTGTTTTCCTTAGACGAATTCCAAGGATTAAATCGGCTTCTCCCATGTACTTCATTTCAAACTTGGTAGAAAGCATAGCCTTAGCATTTTTCACCACATCAAGGTTAGTATCAACAATAAGCATATCATCAACATATTAACATATTATAACACAAGATGATTCAAACTCCTTAGAGTATAAACATGAATCCGAAGAATTAGCCACATATCCACAACTCCTAAGAGTGCTATAAAACTTTTCAAACCATTGCTTAGGAGCTTGCTTAAGACCATAAAGAGACTTTCTAAGCCTACATACTTTATGTTTTTGTCCTTTCACCACAAACCCTTTCGGTTGAGTCATATAAATTCTTCATCAAGGTCTCCATTAAGAAAAGCCGTTTTAACATCCACTTGGTGAACCACTAAGTCATGAATTGCCGCAAGAGCTACCAAGGTTCTAATGGTGGCAATCTTAGTCACAGGAGAATAGGTGTCAAAGAAATCTATACCTTCCTTTTGGGTGAAACCTCTAATGACAAGTCTAGCTTTAAATTTATCTATGGTCCCTTTCGGTCTAAGTTTCTTTTTGAAAATCCACTTACAACTTATAGGTTTAGAACCCTTAGGCAACTCACAAAGATCCCAAGTGTGATTGGACATAATAGAATCAAGTTCACTCTTAATGGCTTCTTTCCAAAATCTAGCATTTATGGATCTCATTGCCTCATCATAAGTCTTAGGGTCTTTTTCTAAAAGAAACAAAGACACAATATGCTCACTCAAAGAATCTACATCAAAGTCTTCTACTACAAAAGAAGACAAGAAATTCGGTCCAAAAGAAGACTCTATTCTAGGTCTCTTACTTCTCTTAGGTTTAACTTCTACCACTTTGGTAAGATTAGAACTAGGCATAGAGTCAGCAAGAGGCACATTCATACTTGACTTACTAGCATTCTCATCAACATTAGAAGACAAGGATTTGTTCATAGGAAAAATATGCTAAAAAAATACCGCATCTCTAGCTTCACAAATTGATCTATCACTTAATAGCATGAACCCATAGGCTGTAGGGGTGGCAAACGGATCAGGTCAGGTCGGGTTCGTGTTCGGGTTTTTGGGTTTCGGGTCAGCTAACCCCCAACCTGAACCTGATCCATTTAAGTTTTCGGGTTGAAAACCCTAACCTGAACCTGATATTTTCAGGTTCGGGTCAACCCGAAAACGACCTGATTTGACCTGATTTTTTTTTTTAAATTATGTTGTTTTTTTTTAAATTAAGTTGATTAATTGATTTGACCGAAAACAATGTAATTAACAACAAATTGGCAACAACAAAAAAAATCAGAAACAATAAATCGGCAAAAACAACCAACATGCAAAAATTAACAACAAAAATTTTAGGTGCATTACAATTATTAACCAAAAACAGCACAATCGAATAGAAAAACTGAAAATAAAAAATTAAAAAAAAAAAAACCAAAACACAAAATTAAAACAGAAAATTGTCTTTGAAGGAGAGGAAGAATTGAAGATGACGGTGAAAGTTTTGGAGATGTAGAATTAGATCGACCGAAAACCCATGTAGTTGAGCTTGAGGCTTGAAGTTCAGCTTGAGGAGATGTACAAGTAGAACTCAGACCAACCGAAAAATTAGCTTGAACGGTTGAAAACTTGAAATTGAACGATGGTGAATTGAACTCAGATCAACCAAAAAGGAAAAACCCCAGCTTGAGACCGAAAACCCAAATCAACAAATTTGTATGATTTTAGATTTTTTTTAGAATTTTAGAGACCGAAAACCCAACTAGAAATTGAACAATCAATGGTGAATTGAATTCACATATGATTTTAGATTTTTAGAGTTTGAGTTATGAGAGAGAAAATTGAAAGAAAAATTAAATTATAAAAATGCTGGAGTTTTGCTGCTAGAAACGGCTGAGTGAGAGGTGTGAGCATTGAGAATTTGAGATGATTTTAGGGTTTTATTTTTTATATAAGGAGCTATATTTGGGCTTTGGTCAATTTACATTAGGACCCATATTTTTTGTGTGTTGTGCGGCTGGTTGGTATCTTTATAGTTAAGGTTTTTTTTTTTTAAAAATATTCGGAAATTCGGGTTAAGTGGGTCATTTTCGGGTTGGAATTTTCAACCTTAACCTAACCCATTTAATTTCGGGTCGGGTTCGCGTCAACCCATTTAAGTTTTCGTGTCGAAAATCTCAACCCTAACCCGCTATTTTCAGGTCGGGTTCGGGTCAGATCAGTTTTTGCCAGCCCTAATAGGCTGCACTATTATGAGCATATCCAATGAACACACAATCAAAAGTTTTAGACCCGATAGTGGACTTTTTAAAATCTGGAAAAGCCACCTTAGCCAAACACCCCCATACTTTCAAAATTTTAAAATTTGGACTATATCCCTTCCAAAGTTCATAGGGGGTTTTATCACCAACTTCTTATGGGGCACTCTATAGAGTACACAAAAAGCGGAAAGAAACGCCTCTCCCCACAAGTTATCGGATAAACCGGAACTAAGAAGCATGGCATTCATAGTCTCTTTCAAAGATTTATTTTTCCCTTTCGGCAACACCATTTGATTGGGGTGTGTAAGGTGGACTTGTTTCATGTATGATGCCATTGGCCTCACAAAATCTTTTAAAGAATCTTTACCATATTCATCACCTTTATCGGTTCTAACTCTTTTGATCTTTAGGTCCAATTGATTTTCAACTTTGGCTTTGTACTTTAAAAATGTACTTTCGGCTTCATCTTTTGATTTAAGCAAATAAACTTTGGTATAACGAGAAAAGTCATCAACAAAAGTAATATAAATATTTTTTCCACCCATACTAGTGCATTTTTTAAAGTCTGCTAAATCCGAATGAATCAATTCAAGTAATTTGGTACTCCTTGAGACCACTTGCTTAAATGGTTTCTTAGTATGTTTGGCCTCAATACAAATTTGGCATTTGTCAAGTTTGTCATCCATTGAAAATCTAATCAAATTCATATCCTTTAACTTTTTTAAATAAGAAGAATTTAAGTGACCCAAACGGTTGTGCCAAACATCCAAAGACTCAACAATATATACTTTCATTTTCATTCATAACATTCAAAACAAACAAGCCATTATTAAGATAGCCTTTCCCAACAAAGTCTCCATTCTTAATCATTACAATCTTGTCGGCCTCAAAGACAAGTTTTAGGCCGGCTTTGTTGAGAAGGGCTCCCGAAATATCATTTCTCCTAAGAGAAGGTACATACAACACATTATTTAAAAATAAAGTTTTTCCGGAGGTAAGTTTGAGATGGACCTTTCCCTTACCAAGGACACCGGCGGTACTACTATTGCCCATGTAGACATGATCGTCGTCGGTAACATCTTCAAACTCGGTCATCAAGGCCTTATTGGCACAAAAGTGCCTTGATGCTCCGGTGTCCAAAATTCGCTCCACTTTGTTCTCAATCAAGTTGGCTTCCACCACCACCGCTGTAATGATTTCTTCCTTTTCAACAACATTGGCTTGGGAGGGGTTGCCATATTTCTTGGCTCCATGCCTTCGGTTGCATTGGTATGCTTTGTGTCCAACGATCCCACACACATAGCAAACATCTTTTAGCTTTTGGATTTTGTTGTTTGGAGTGAAATTGCTTTTGGACTTGTTGTTTCCCTTCTTCTTAGAGTTTTTCCAGTTTTTAGACACATTCAAAGGAGACTCAACAAGATTAGCTTTAGAAGAATTAAGAGATAAATTTTCAAACTTATCCTTAAGGCGATTAACCTCTTCGGTTCTCCTGTGACTAATGAGTTCTTGAAGGGTCATGTCCTTCTTCTTGTGCTTCAAAGAATTGTAAGTAGTCATTCCAAAAGGGAGGTAATTTCTCCAAGAGGACATTGGCTTGAAGAGTCTCACACATCTTTATGCCTTCACTAAGAATCTCAGTCACTATGTTCTCATAGTCATGGACTTGAGTCATGATAGGCTTCTCATCATCCATTTTGAAGTTGATCCACTTGCCCACCACGTACTTCTTTTTCATGGCATCATCCGCTCCATATTTCTTCTCCAAAGAATCCTATATGACTTTGCTTGACTTGAAATTGACAAACAAATCAAACAAAGTGTTGTTCATGTGGTTAAGGAGATGACCACGAACAAGCTTGTTGTCCTTTTCCTTCTTCTTCAAGGCTTCCGTTGTGGCCGCCGGAATTGCAGCTGTAGCGGTTTTAGCATCTTCTTCAGCCTTATTGAGTGTCTCAATAACATCTTCATTCAAAACATAATCTATTTCCAATTGTTCAAAAAAGATTAGTAACTTTTGTGACCATCTCTTACAATTATTACCATCCAAAGGTTCCAACTTAGAGAGGTCGGGAAGAGACTTCACAATACTATTAGTAATAGACATAATTTCGTTTTCAAATTGTTGTAAATAAAGAAGTAGTCTAGTACAAATAGTACGTATAAAATATTAATCAATAAGATCGAAAAATTGATCTCACAAAAAGGAATGAGTACGGTGTGTCGTGAAGCAAATTCACTGACTTGAAAATGAAATTCCGATGCAACCGGGGTGCTCAATTGTATTCGTCAGCACGTTCCCTATGTAGGGTTTCGTAGTGACCCGACACTACGCGGAAGGAAACCCACCAAGACCCGCCCCTTAATTAAAGCAATTAACAAGCATAATAAACTTAATCAAACAAGATTAAGAACAAGAATTATACCTTTGACGCGTGCTTCGCTCCCAAAGAGCTCTTACTTCAAAATCCCGAAAAGACGAGATCTCCGACGGATCGTACCCTCGACCCGACCCGAGCGTCCTAAGTCTTGAAGGTTAGTCAAGACCCGGACAAAATAACTATGAGTTTTACGAATCAAAGGTTTACTCTTTCTTAGAGTTGCCTTTTTAATTCCACTCAAGGTTGTTTATTTCCCAATACCCAAGCTTGGTATTTATAGGGAAATGAACCCTTGCATTTTATTCCCCAACCAATGTGGGGGAATGTTTTATTTGCTAATTAATTTATTTCTAAAATAAATCAATAAATAAATGCAATCACAATTCGACAAGTGTCAAAGGGAGAGAGAGTATTAGGTGAGGACCATGGAGAGGTGGGGGGACCAATGCCTTGCTCCCCAAGGCTTTCACAAAGCCTTGGTCCCCACTCTCCTCACAAACCGCCTCAACCAAGGCTGCTGGCCAGCTGTCAGCTAGCACGCCAGCTGGCTGTGCCAGCTAGCCCAGCATGCTAGCACAAGCCCAGCAGCAGCGCTGGTGCTTGCTGGTCCGTGCTGGCGCTGGTGCTGGCTGGTGCCAGCATCCCACGCATCATCACTGCACCATATGCTCGCATGGCCCAGCATGCGTGCTGCTAGCGAGCCATGCATGCTGGCCTTTCGCACATCATGCGCGCCACGCATCAGCCTCTCTCGCACGCAATGCCTAGCATGCGTGCTGCTAGTAAGCCACGCATGCTTGGCTTGACGTTGCTAGCTTGCTAGCCCCTCGCACACATTCGCACAACCACACGCATCTGCCTCGGCCATGCACCGTGCACCATGCACGTACATGCCTCGCCCAAGCACCACGCACCACGCATGCGCCAGCGCCTAGCACTAGCTGTGCTTGGTGCGTGTGGTCCTGCCATGTGCCCAGCATTATGCTAGGGTTGCTACGGCATCAGGCCATCCTAGGGCACGTATGGTGCGCCTAGTGATGCTGCCTGGGCTGCGATGGCGCCCAGCCATCCGAGGGCACGCATGGTGCGCCTAGTGATGCTGCCTGGGCTGCGATGGTGCCCAGCCATCCTAGGGCACGCATGGTGCGCCTAGTGATGTTGCTGGCTTGCGATGGGCTGCGATGGCGCCCAGCATCATGCTAAGGCTGCGATAGCGCCTAGGCATGATGCCAGGGCTGTGTTGGCGCGCCTGGTGCTAGCGATAGCCAGCCATGGTGCCTAGCCATCACGCTAAGGCTGCGATAGCGCCTAAGCATGATGCTAGGGCTGCTATGGCGCGCCTAGTGCTTATGATGAGCTAGCCTAGCCTAGCTATGGCTACGCTCATATTTGTCGATTGTGATTTTGCGACGCTCGGTCTCGACGCCCTAGGCTCGATGTCCGACATCTGTATTCGTAAAACTCTGTCGACTCATTAAATCCTTTTGGATTAATTCGTCGTCTCGGATCGGTGATTCGATTGGGTTCGACCTGAAGGGTTCAGTTAAGATTAAGCTGTAACATCAATTGCACATTGATATTACTGATCGGAAGCGGCCTCCACCTAGGCATTCCGATCACTTGACCTTACTGAAGAATTAGCTCTGTAATAATTCTGAACCCTCTACCGGAAGAATACACTTGTTGGAAGGACACCATTCCTTTCAATTTCCCACTTGTCCTTCCGGACAAGTGTGCATACATTGTATAGCTTATTTCCTATGTCACTTAATGTTTCTTCGTGAACTATAAGGTAAGATTCTTTGTCATCCTTATTACGTTCAGAAGTGTTTCTCGATCTCCGAGTTCGACTGTCAATAAGCAGATGATTTCTAAAATCCATCTGAGCACGGCCATGCATTTTCACAGTCTCGCTCTTCGAGCGGCCTTGTAAACAACAAAACATTTTCCCTACTGTTAGTAGGGGGACAATCCCAGTCTTGTATTGTAAGTTCTTCTTACTAAGAGGACATAGTCTCTCGAGAGTTCCCGTTATGATCCCCAGTTACGGCAGACGTTTGGAAACATCAAAGAGTCTAGTACTCAAACAAGAAAACTTCACAGTACTCATGGTCGGAGGAAACAAGTTCCGATAGTCATAATGAGAAATGTACTTATGAAAAAATTTTAAATTTTCTTAAAGTACTCTCATAGGTCTTATCCAGTACAGTCTTAAACTGTACCTGTGCAAATGATTTATGACCGTCACGTCCTCGCAGCACAAGAAACGGTGCTGTAAATCATACTACACACTAATCTATGGTGGTCATCAATCGTCCATTTGTTTGATGACCTCGATTAGGGATACTGTTCGATTTAATATTCAATGTTCACTTAACAGGTGTTTCTTTATCCAAGACATGGTCTTGATACCATGTTTTGAATATTTCCGTAAATCAAATGGACTCATTATTTAATTCTAAACCACAATTAAATAGTAATGGAGTGAATGATAATTATGCACAAAAATTAATTACTTTATTAATGAATGGTTTTAATACAGTGTCTTACATTAAATATCCTATTTAATTAAAACACATGTACAGGGAATTTCAAAGTCAGTCTCCAACATGCTTGATTCCCATTTCCTCAATGTGCTTGTTGTGTTTCACTTGAGGCAAAGGTTTAGTCAAAGGATCGGCTACATTATCATCCGTGCCGATCTTACAAATTCTGATTTCACCT